CGTCTCTATGGCCTTGATCTGGTCTGGATTGACTTCGATACCTCGCTGGGATACGAGAAAACCCAGGAACTTTCCGGAAGACACGCCGAAAGCATATTTTTCTGGGTTTAGCTTCATCCCGTATCGTCTTAGTATCTCAAAGGCTTGTTTTAAATGGTCGATGTGATCCTCCTTTTTAGCCGACTTTACTAGCATGTCGTCGATGTAGACCTCCATTGTCTTGCCGAGCTGTTCCTTGAACATCTTGGTGACCAGCCTTTGGTATGTTGCGCCGGCGTTTTTGAGCCCGAAGGGCATCACCTTGTAGCAGTAAGTCCCTTGGTGGGTGATAAAAGTCGTTTTTTTCTGGTCCTCATCGGCCATCAGGATCTGGTTGTAACCAGAATAGGCATCCAAAAAGCTTAGCAGCTCGTGTCCGGTTGTTGCGTCTATCAGCTGATCGATGTGAGGTAATGGGAAGGAGTCCTTTGGGCATGCTTTGTTCAAGTCAGTGAAATCCACGCACATCCTCCATTTCTCGCTTTTCTTTTTTACCATGACCACGTTGGCGACCCACTGGGGGTACTTCGATTCCCTGATAGACCCGTTGGCTAGTAGCTTATATACTTCTTCGCTGACTGCCTCATTGATTGCGGCGTTGAACTTTCTCCTTACCTGCCGCACGGGCGGATAGAGTGGTTCGACGTTGAGTTTGTGAGTGGCGATGTCTTTTGATATCCCTGACATGTCAGAATGGGAGAAGGCGAACAGACCTGCATGGTTAGTTAAGAATTCATGGTACTTACCTGGGTCGGCAAGGTTATGCCCGATGTATGCTTTTTTCGAACTGTCGGTGCTGTCCAACATGACAGGGTCGAGGTCCTAACTGTCGCTTTGCAGGCTTCTACGATATCGGGGTCCCTGTTGCCTTCCGTTGTCGGGGTGAATTTGGTCCCCGACATGGCTGATTGCTATGCTTCCGCACTTGCCCCTTTCAGTTGTTTGGTGTGGGTGCAATCTTGGGCGATTCGGTAACATTCTTCGGCGGTGCGTGGCTCGCCTCGGATACTGAATATTCCCCATGGGGTGGGAAACTTGATTACCTGATAGAGGCTCGATGGGATGGCTCGCATGGCGTGCATCCATGGACGTCCTATGATGACGTTGTAAGCCGTTTCCTGGTTCATGATGTGGAAGGTGGTGTCCAGCGTGACTCCTCCCGCCAGGACCGACGGTGATATCTCTCCGGAGGTGCGTTCTACTACATTGTTAAAACCCGTTAGTGTTATGCAACGCGGTATTACTTTATCCTCAAGCCTCATTTGCGTGAGGACTCTCGGATGGATAATACACGCGCCGCTTCCGTCGTCTACCATAACTCTCTTTACATCAGTATCAGCAATGCGTAAGGTTATGACTAAAGCATCATAGTGAGGGAAAGACAATTCGTCGGCATCAGACTTATCGAAGGTGATACTATTTTCGAAGTCATCATACCGTTCGTGAGCGATTGTTCGCTTCAGTTTGTGCGTGGTGGTGAACTTGACGTGGTTGATTGTCGAATTGTCACCGCCGCCGACAATCATCTGTATGGTTCGTGTCGGGGACGGCGGTTTTGGCGGCCCTTGAGATTGGTCGCGTCCCCTGGCGAAGTTGGCTCTTCCTTTGTCGCTGAGCAGCTCCTTCAGGTATCCCTGGTTCAGCATCCTGACTACTTCTTGTCGTAGGCCTATGCAGTCTTCGGTCCTGTGTCCCCGTTCCTGGTGGAACTCGTACAGGACGTTTGATTTTCTTGCACTAGGATCTGATTTCATTTTTGGCGGCCAGTGTATCGGGCCTAGCTTCTCCAGTGCGTATACTATCTCTGAGGGTGAGACACAAAAGTTATGAGCGGATAATAACGGAGGCATACCTCTTTCATTCCGGAGCGTAGCAATATGTCGTTGGAAGGCGTCCTGGTGTCTCGGAGGAGGCGGGCTAGGGGCTCTAACGTAGGGCTGATGCCTTTCTCTGTTAAACCGTGGGAGTGGGTCCTGTTGCCCGTTGTTGCGTCGATCTCTCCTGGTTTCCGTCTGTACTGACGTTAGTCGCTGGGTCGGACCGTTAAGATCGTCCTCGTTTGCCCTTACCTCTGCACAGTAGGCGTTGTGGATCTCTTCCCACGTTGTGGGGGGATACTTCATGAGTCGGCTGAGTAGTTTCTTGGTTGCTTTCGACCCGTCCCTGCTCAAACCGTTTTGGAAGGCAGCAACTGCCATTCCCTCCGATACGTTAGGCAGGCTAATTCTTACTCTGTTGAATCGTGCCAGGAAGTCCCTGAGCCCTTCGCCTGTCGTTTTCCTGATCGCAAATATGTCGTTAACCCTTGCTTCGACCTTCTTTGCTCCCGCATGGGCGGTAGCGAATTTGTCCGCCATCTCCTCGAACGTTGATATTGACCTAGCCGATAGTTGCGAATACCATGTTAGTTCCCCTCCGGTCAGGGTTTCTCCGAACTTTTTCAGCAGCACGGACGGCACCTGCTCCTTTGACAAGTCATTTCCTTTCACAGCGGTTACGTAGTGGATCAGATGATCTTCTGGGTCCGTGGTCCCATCATATATTCTCAAATATGGGGGCATCTTGAAGGTTTTTGGGATCGGATGAGGGGCAGCTTCCTCGCTGTACGGTTGCTCGACGAAACGTCCTACGTCGCGTTTCGGCAGTAATTTTGGTGCATCGGGTATTTTGTCTACCCTTTCCTGGTGCTCTTTCATTTGGTCACGGAGTGCCTTATTCTCATTCTCCATTTCTTCCATTTTTCTTAGGATGGTTACGAGCGCGTCGTTGCTTACGATGATGTCTGTATGAGCGCTGCTCATCCGCATAGTACCTGGTTCGTCGGCGGCTGCGGTAGTCGTTGCCGCTGGTGAATCGCTGGGGTTTCCCGGAGACGATTTCTCGAGCAGGCCACTCAGGGTGTTTGTCAGCCACTCCTCCAGTAATTTTTTGACTACTGGGGGTGTTTCCTTTACTGCGGGTGTCGAAGTCCCCTTCTCATGCAAGATCGTTAGATCTTCGAGTGAGGAGGGCGATATATTTTCCTCCGGAAGACTGCTCGGTGTTGCGTTTGAAACATCTTCTCTACTGGCCTCGTTGAGGGGACCCATCAGGTTGGTTGAGACATCGGCTATCATCTTTAGCTTAGATTCTCTGTCTGTCATTTTTGGTTCTTCTGAGTTTGGGGGATAATGATCGTTGTTTCTGATACTCTAGATGTGAACTATGACTTTGATTATCGAAATCCCCACAAACGGCGCCAAATTGTTTGGCTTAAAAGGTTAACGAACAGTGTTTAAGAAAATCAATCAAATATATGGAGAAGAGATAAATCGTAGTCAAAGATAATCGACACTAGAGTATGAGTAATCCTTTGTGGTTTGGTGATTCGGAGCAGTTAAAGGACAAAGTTGCGTGATAATGTTACAAAGATCCGAGGTATCCGTTTTTCAGAGAAAGAGGGAGATAGAAATTGAGACAGAGAGATAGAGAGAGTAAGTAGAAATGTTATTGATCCAAAATCCCCCATTACACAGTTGGGAACCCCCCTTATATAGCGGAGGGATTTCCCCTTTTTTTCCTATTTACGATATAAAGATAAAATATATAAACTAAAGATAAAGTGCACGTTACAGAGGGGCCGACGTGATTACATGGTCGTCCCTTGGGCCCGACCTTTGTCCACACGACAGGTCGTGTCCATTTTGAGGACGGGGTTGGTCAAACTCGACCCTATACAGTGGCTGCTGTTGGAAAGTTGGGAATTTTAGGCAACTGCGGCATTGTTGGCTGAGGGATTGTTGGCAAATTTGGAAGTTGCAGTATAACAACAACAACATACTCAGTATAATCCCACCGGTAGTATGTACGCAGACCTTACCCCTACCTGGAGAGGTAGAGTTGAGTATTCTGAATCCTGCCTAGTAAATCCTTCTTCAAATAGAAAGATTGGCTTCTGTAGGTGTTCAATGTCCATAGAGGAGCAAACACAGGTAATGACCGAGTTGTAGTGGATGGACTACAAGGGACCACAAAGAGGAAGGAAACCAAAAAAGAACAAAGAAAGAAAATGAAAGGTCAAAAAGAAGAGAGATAGATGGAAAAGAAAACTGGAAATGAGAAGGAAATGAAAGGAAGAAGGGCCAGAAATTGGTTCTTCCATTCACTCAAGGCATTTGTTTTGTGCTTAGAGACTTGGCTTCCTCAAGCAGATTTCTTATGGGCTACAGCAGTGTGTTTTTTCTTTGTGCTCCAGTTATCAATGTCGCAATCATCTCCTCAGAGATTCATTCCCGGTATCTCTTCGAAATCAGAGGCAGACTACAGATGGCACATCAAACCACAAACATTGGCTGCCAAAGTCCACTATGCTCTCCCAATTTAGCTTGCGATGGTAATCTATATTAGTTCAACCCCTCTTTTACATTAATGCATTAGACCAGATGAGTCATTTGACGTGCAACACAGTTGAAAGTAAACTGAATAGAGAAATGAATGAACCTGTGAAATTCGTAGAAGCATTTAACATAGAGAAAACTGATTCTCGCATGGAGCCAAATAATTGACTTCCAGTTAAAGATATACAACCACCTGCTGAGAGCAAGAAGATTATTACAGACTAGACTCAGTCTACACCTGTAACAGAGCTTGGCCAGAATCTTACCTTAACCATGTAATATATTGGGAAAGAATAGCTTTGTCTGCTCCAGTCAAAACAAAGAAATATCAATAAGTTTCCACACATGAACATAGATGGATTATCCAGTAAATTACTAGGCTAACTGAAATATACTTGGCATAAAAAAATCAACATGCTATTTTCTTAAACCCTTACTACAGATCAGAAGTTGTATAAACAAAGAAAGAGTCGCTGCTTGTATAACTGGATATGAAGGCCCTTCCAACTGAGGTTGGCTGAGAATAGGCCAACTCTGAGCGTTTAAGAACTAAATCCTTGCAAAAGGTTCCCCTGCATTGAAGAATGTAAAGCAAGTTCAGACTAAATGTAAATCATAAGAAATCCAATCTATGCGGAACTTTGGCATTCCAGACTGCAAATGGCAAACATAGAGTTTAACTTAACGAAAATAGTTATTACCCATTTTACCAACATCAAGTAACTTATTTGACCAAATTTATAATGCAACAGCTATTTTGCTGAGAGCACGATCAGACAAACTCTATTTGCGAAATAGAAGCACATCCGATGCTTCAACGACGAACTCTGTGTGTAAGCATCTACTAAGCAACTTCCAATCTTTCATTTTGGTGTGCTGTTCTTTCTTTCCTTGGTCATTCCGTTTTGACATATCCATTATAACTTATCCAATTACATTATACTGCTAGTGCACCTTCCATTTACAAAATCTCAGGGGCACAGTCTAATATGAGGGTAATGTGTTTCTATTTTTTATTTTTTTGATGACGGAAAAATCTCAGAGGGGCAATAGTGCACGGTCCGAAACTCGGTGAATAATGGGACCGCCACTAACCCTTCTCTACTCAAAAACCAGGCTCTTGAGTGCGGCAGGGTTCAAACCCGTGACATGCGCCTGATCCTCAAATCACATGCTGCACTCTTACCACTAGACCAAAACCCTGGGGGGCAATTATAAGAGTAGTATTTTACATAGTGTCGTATCCTAAATTTTAATGGAACAAAAGAGGCCCAGCTGGGTACTGACAAGACCATGCCATGGAGTTCGAATAATTTGTTGTCTTATCACATTCATTTTCCTATCACCTGTGAAAATAATGAGAGTAGAGACCAGTGATGCTCAACAACAAAGTTTTCAGTTTCTTCCGTATGACTGCAGATATTAAAGACATTATCATTTGGCAATTGAATTCAAGAACCAACTTTGCGTTATGCAAGTAAATACCACCCCAAGAATCCCAGAACTCCTTTGAAACTGACATCTAAGGACGTTTGCATTTGTATACACTGTTCTTCAGTATGCTTGAGTAAAGCAGAATCCTTGCCCGTAACAGCCACTTGATCACCATTGACACCTTTGTAATACCATGAATTTGAAATTGGTTCACGTTGAATATAGGAAGTAGTGGGCAAAACCTTCTTAATCATCTCTAAACCTCCTTGATAGCACTCAGCTATATTCCTCAGAACAACTTCCTTATCAAGATAATTACTGCATGGAAAAACTAGAGGCATTATGTCTGAAACTGCAATTGTACCGGGAGAGTAGAAGTCTCTGGTAAACTTTACGAAGCTGGAGGACAGCTCTTCATCTTGAGAAGCACCAATCAAGCGACTCGATCATGTACTTGAGCAGCAGAGAGTACTACACCATTCTGTTTCTGCAATATAGATAGAGTACACCGTGGTAGGATCTTCTCATACTACATTGATGGCGTACACCACTCTGATTCCATACTAGCACCCCTTTCATAAATTATCAAGTGCAAGCAAAGAAAAACTCAGTTTCAAGTTTACAAAGACACTTGTCAAGTGAGAGCATCAGACTCTCACTTATGAAATTTAGTTTTGGTTTATCAGTCACTGTCGCCTTTCTTCCTTTTTCCAGTGGTCTCGTTTCTCAGACATGATTTTTTTTGTTTCCAATTCAAAAGGAGCAAGTACTAGTTTGAATCCCGTAAATTTTACTTTTGTCAGTTCATTAAGCATGCAATATATTTACAATAAAAAAACTTCAAGGAACCATAACAACTCTGAGAAAGTGAATGGCATTACCTAGCAGCATCCAGCAAATAGCTGGCAATATGTTTTCTTCTGTTGGAGGCACTGACCCAAATGGCTCTAATGCCACATAAAGCAGATACAGCTTCCTTCTCACACAAGACTACTCCACTATCAGACTCTTCATGGCTTTTGGTTGATTGATTTATTCTTACAATTTCCCTTTGGAAACTCACTCCCCCAAATTGGAGTGTGGTTGAAGTCCGTCTTGCTTCCTTCTCAGGTGAAACCTTACACCTGCTGCTTTCTGATCTTGAGAGAATCTTATACGCCTTCTTTATGGGCTCTGTTACCAGACATCCAGATATTCTTTGAGAAGATATAAACAGATAAACCTGTTAACAGGAGAAATGTTTCAGAGTTTCATTCAAACAGCTAGACAAACTCAGCCTCTCACATAACCACCACATGAAGGGAGAATTCTTCATAAAAATTAGTCAGCAAAATGAGGACAACCATTCAACGTCATAGCACGATTAAGAAGCTTCATTGAGCTCAAGTAACTCACAACTCAAATTATAAAAAATATAAGTAGAAAGCTGGACAGTTGAAATTTGATATTGATTAGTGAATAACTTTGAACAATGAAGTTCACTTTCTATGACAGTAAGTTTATTAAAATTGCAAGAGACGGAACCTTGCATAGCTGATGATATATCCACCCATCTCCAAGTTCCATCTCCATCATCTTCACAACTTCCTGTACCTGCCAACAACACACTCTCTTTAAGTCTATGAACACTATGTTTAACATGATTAACTAGAGAAATATCAATCGTGAACATCAAAAGACACCGTTTCATGTATAACCAAATAGTATCTGAAAACCTTGTTTCTCTGAGGAGGAGGGTCATCGTCCAGCACCAAGATAATTCGGCCAATTTCAAGTGGAGGAATGTGAAGAACTCTTTCATTCCGCCAACCCTGGACATTTTACCAAATCCCAGCAGGCTAGAACTTTAATCTTTTAATAATTTTACACAAATTTGAAATAACATATACTCTGTTGCTGAATTACCTTAAATGGAATACCATGCGTATAATTCTTGTGAAGCGTCTTATGAAACTTTTCATCCCCTTCATCACCTCTGGCATACTTGAAGCCACAGACGGTACAAGTATGCAATAAAAAATCAGACTGACCCAGCTCCAAATAAAATTGGGCGTACTTTCTCTTCTTATTCAAAACTTTCCCAGACTTTGCCACCCCCAGGTCTGGCGCAAATTTCTTTAAGTCTATTTCCTTGGATGCTTCATCAGTTGATGCACCATTGATTTCACTGCAAAATCAGCTTAGCATTAGCAAAGAACTTGAAGGGGAAATAAAAATGGTCATCAATGTTAGGTAGTAACAACACGGAGATGTAATTTTTTTTCCAAACACATAATTTTGGCAGAAAATCTACTTGTTTAACAAAATTAAGAAAATGATTTAGGAAAGATTGTAATGATCATACTTTTGTACTTAAAATCATAATGAATAGTTTAATGGTGTGATGATAAGAAATTGTCCTTAAATTGGTTCCCCTTATCTGCGTCTTATGGAAAAGAGAGAAGGCTAGTTTCAATCAACAAACAAGGTAATTGTAAGTAGACGACAGAGATGATGAACAAATATATGTGTTTCCTCACTTATTTAGCAATTGATCATCTCCATTTTCCTTTTACCTCTCTTTCGTTCCTTCCATTTTGGATAGAATCAAACCACGACATTTTGATTTGGTGTGCTTGCTCATTAACATAGACTTCCCTTTCCTGTTTGACTTTCTCAAAATTTCTTTCCTTTACTACAATTTGCTTTCGTTCTTTTATTTTTCCTTTTAGCACACAAAAATTGATTACTACCTCAAATAAGAAAAATAAACAGGGTGCTGAAGTGAAGGCGGCTAAGAATCCAACTCGAAAAGCTGAACGAAAGCCATATAATACATTAATTTCATAAAGATTCTAGTTTTACTGTTAATTCGACGGAGGTAATATCCAATCAACCTCTCATAGAGGCAGAAAACAAAGCTGAGTTATACAGCTAGTAATTAGGTAAATCTAAAATGGGGGAAAACTACAGCAAAAAAGAATGGGGTAATATGTAAAAATGTCCAAAAAGCAAAACTAGAAAATATAGAGGGAAATAAAAAGAATTGGATTAAGAAAAGTTCCAATCAAAGATTTTGAGGACAGAAATTTCAAGATTCAATAGTAGAGAAAAGGGAATTAAGTAAAGATAAAAGAAGTAATAGAGATGTACCCGAATGAATTTTGAGCTCTGCGCTGGTAAGTAACAACAATTTCTGGCTGTAACCTCCCATAATCAAACATATCACCGCAACATTGGGATGGGTCTGCAGTAGAAGAAGAGGGCTTGAAGAAGCTGCTAATTTTCGATTGCATTTGATTTTCTCTCTCTCGGCCCTGTAAAAATTCTGCTAAATTAGAGCTTCCCGCCTCACTGAACTGAAACAAGTCGAGACTATTTATTAAGGTGTGTTTAGTTTGGTTTGGTTCGGTTTTTTTCTAAAGAAAAACCAAACCAAGTGAGTCGGTTTTTCAAAAATTGAAACCAAACCAAACCAATTAAGTCGGTTTATCGATTCGATTTTTTCTTAAATATGAGACATACACTACCAAACGCATATTACGTCGGTTACATTTTCAACGTAACATTATCAAACCAATTGCTCTTTAAGAAATCTATCATTTACAAAGATATATTAATGATAATTGAATCAAATAGTGATGAATAATTTAAGTACTCAATTAAAAATCGATTATTTTTAACATGAAATAAATTTTTGTACTTAGCAAAAGAAAACTACCAATCAAACTAGAATGTAAATGCAAATAATTATATTATTATAATAGCAAAAAACTATACTAAAAATACAAACGACTAATATGTACCATAAAATTTTAGAAATTTTATATAAAAATATGCATATATACATGTGTCATAATAAATTTAAATAGCTACTTTTATAGTCGGTTTGGTTCGGTTTTTTCGGTTATTTTTTTATTAAAACCAAAACCAAACCAAATTTGATCAGTTTTTAAAATTCAAAATCAAAACCAAACCAAACCTAAAAAGTATCGGTTTGGCTCGATTTTTCGGATTTTTATACCCCTACTCGAGAGAGTGGTACTTCTATTTATCACTAGGATGCCCACAAGTTTAGGAGAAATGGTATTTCACCCCCTAAAGTTTGTCAAAGTAAACGCTTCCTTTTAATATGTTTTCTTGTTTAGGGAGCTTTTATGGATCAGTAAATTTGTAATGGCTTTCGAAAAATCATTGCACACTTCAGCGTTGCGTGCGTCCTATAACCACCCTGTCATCATTGTGTGCATGATTTTGTGTTGAAATTGTTTCACATATTATTCTCTCTATATATACGGATACTATGTATATACAGATCATTTTATTATTATATGTATCGATTATTTTCAAGACGAAGAAGATGCCCGAAGATCGGAGGTGAAGTTTGAATCGTTGTACAAAAACAAAGGTGATATCCAGAACTGCAACAACTATAGGGGTATCAAGCTGCTGAGTCACACTATGAAAGTTTGGGAGAGGGTGGTGGAGCAGGGAGTGAGGACAGGTGTATCTATCTCTGAGAACCCGTTCAGATTTATGCCGGGATGGTCAACTATAGAAGCCATTCACCTTTGTGAGACGATTGGTAAAGCAGTATAGGGAGAGGAATAAGGACTTGCACATGGTGTTCATTAACCTGGAGAAGGCTTATGACAAAGTCCCGAAGGAGGTGCTATGGATATGTTTGGAGGTTAGCGGAGTCCCGGTAGCGTACATTAGGGTGATTAAGGATATGTACGAAGGTGTTAAGACTTGGGTGAGGACTGCGGGAGGAGACTCGGAACATTTCCCTGTGGAGATGGAGTTGCATCAGGGATCAACCCTTAGCCCATTTTTGTTTGCCCTAGCGTTGGATGTACTGACACGACACATACAAGGGAGGGTGCCATGGTGTATGTTATTTGCTGTCGACATAGTTCTGATTGACGAGAGGCGAGGGGGTGTTAACGCTAGGTTGGAAGTTTGGAGACATATGCTGTAGTCCAAAGGATTCAAGTTGAGTAGGTCGAAAACTGAATACTTGGAGTGCAAGTTCAGTGATGATAGGCATGAAGAAGAAGTGGAAGTAAAGATTGATACCCAAGTCATTCCCACGAGAGATAGTTTTAAGTATCTTGGATCTATAATCCAAGGCAACAGGGAGATTGAAGAGGATGTTACCCACAGCGTTGGATGAGATGAAGGCTAACTTCGGGGGTTTTATGCGATAAGAATGTGCCGCCTAGACTTAAGGGCAAATAAGGTGGTAGTTATACCGGCTATGTTGTATGGAGCTGAGTGTTGGTCCGTCAAGAAGTCCCATGTCTAGAAGATGAGCGTAGCTGAAATGAGGATGTTGAGATGGATGCGTGGTGGGTTGACAGGTATTTGTGAGTTTCTCCTAGGTTTACCAATAGTACTGGTAATATTCTTGTTGTTGGTTGAAAGTTACTTCCTTTTAGTTTGTTATTATATCTAGTACTTAGCAACCACGTCCATTGTTTTTGAAAATTGCTACTGAAAATTGTTGTTCCCTGATTGTTACTATCTGATGCTATTTTTTCTTATCGTCTTTTGTCTCCCTCGTCTTTCTTTCTCCCCCCTCTTTCTTCTTCTTCCTCTTCTTCCCTTTTCTTCCTTTCCACCTTATCTTGAGCCGAGGGTCTATCAAAACCAATCTCTCTACCTCTCCAGGTAGGGGTAAGGTCTGCGTACACACTACCCTTCCCAGACCCCACTTTTGAGATTATACTGGGTATGTTGTTGTTGTTGTTGTTGTTATTATATGTATAAGTTATATTACTGAATTTTTTCATGCAAGAAAAGCTTTTAGCTTAACAACAGAGAGCTTAAATAAATACAAAAAAATTTAGCTTTTGCTTTATTTTTTCTAGAAAGGAATTGCTCTTCCACAAAAAGTTGTATATCTTTTACCTTAAAATAATGCCAATCTATTAACCCAATCTTTGGAAATATAATACTATATCTAAGAAATTATTCCACCAAATATATATAAAAGATGCTAGGGTTAGTACCCATGACACTAGATAAAATGACAAAGTGCCTTTATTCCATGGTCAACTTTCTGCTTTAATCGTTCAAGTTTTATAAGTTCATAAACGGATCACATCAATTCAATTTGAGCAACAATTCTTCGATTTAAATGCTTCTACATCTGAAGCAAAGGGAGTGAACAAGACTAAATAATATCCTGATAATCTATATTATAAATGATGGGTGTCCTCCTTTAATTAACAAAAAAAAATGATGAGTGTTCGCACTAGAACTATGCGATCGATTTATACACTATAGCCTAAAAAAATACAAATATACACTATTTAGGGTGTGTTTGGTATGAAGAAAAATATTTTTCGAAAAATACTTTTCAATTTTCCAATGTTTGGTTGGCCTTAATGTTTTGGAAAACATTTTCCTCCAATTCCCTATCAAGAGAAGGAAAACATTTTCCAAAACTTCTTCCCAACCTTCCTCATCCTATTCAGCATCCCCACCAACACAAACCAACCCACCCCACACCACACCTCCACCCCAACCCAACCCCAACCCCAATCTTCGCCTTCGCCCCACCCCCACCTACCCACTCCACCCCCACCCTAAATAAAAATATTATTAATAGTATTTTCTTTTCATGGTATACATAGATTTTCTTTTCATTTCAATAAATGAGTATTTTTTTTCATGATATAAAAAAATATTTTTTTCCATTTTAACAATAAAATACTTTCTTTCATGTAGAAAAATATTTTTTGTTCATTTCAACAAAAAAAAAGTATTTTCTTTTCATGATGTAAATAAAGTTTTTTTTTCATTTCAACAAAATGAGCAATTTTTTTTATGATGTAGAAAATATATTTTCTTTTATTTCAATAAAATGAGTACTTTATTTTTATGTTGTAGAAAGAGTACTTTCTTTTTCAACCAAAAAAAAGAGTATTTTCTTTTTAGTTATGGAAAACAAATTCAACGTTATTTTTGCGTAAAAAGGTAAAGCAACACATTAGTTCCTTTGAGTGTGCGTGAATTTTTAGAAACTCGGGGAATTGGGGGGAGGAGAGTAGCATAAAAAAAATATTTTCCTAAAAAATATTTTCTACTCTCCAGCCAAACACTAGAAAATATTTTTCACTCACCAACCAAACAAGGAAAAATAAGTGATAAAACCATTTATTTTCCATGAAAACATTTTCCATAGGAAACATTTTCCTTCATACCAATAACACACCCTTGATGTATAATAGTAAACTCATTATAAGTAGGAAAATGAGGGCTTTGGAATAAAAGGACGAACACCTAACAAAAGAGGAGATTCGAATCTCAGGTTTGTGATTCCATTGTTCAGAATCACATAGTGCAATAATGCAATCTCCAATGACTTGAAATGCCAAACACTATTTCCTTTTTCGTTTGGAGGTTTAGAAAGAGAGAATAAGTTAACGAGGACTCAAGCTATGAAAAATACATGGACTTCCCTATTCTTTCCCTATATTACAATTTGCCTACCTTTTCTAGAATGTGGAATTTGCAGTATATATTGTCCTCTCATGTTTCTTATCAAAATAAAATTAAGTTGACGAATGCACAAATTAGAAAAGAAAATAGAGTAATCGTCAATATGCTCTTTTATGTAATAGAAAAACTTTTAATAATAAAAGTTCAGATTTACAATGTGAAGACGTTTTGTTTAATGATAAACCTAGTTAAAGATATAGAAATGAAATTTTATCCTATTATACTAATAAAAAGTTAATGCTGGTATGCTGAGTAATAATATTTCGAATATACTAAAAAAATTGATTTCAAACAAGCCACATATTGATAGTGGTGTTATACTCTCGACTAATATATATAACACTTATATGAGGGTTCATTATTAATTTATACATAATATAAAGAGTATTAATAATGTACATATTAACAATATCAGTACATATAATTTTGTTTTATTATTAACCTTATAACATTCCGCATGATATTTTTTAGTGTATAACAAATTTTTTTTTTGATTTGCACCGGGTGTCCGAGTCTCTAAGAGCCCGGACTAATCCCGGGGGTGCACAGGCCCTCGGCAAGGAGTTTCCCGCAAGTGCACCACGGTTAATTCAGGTTTTACCCAGTCCGATGGCCCTTAGAAATTGTTTGCACCCAGTGGGTTTTGAACTTGAGACCTTGAAAGGGAGCAAACCCCAAGGCTCAAGTCTATTGCCACCAGGCCAACCCCCGAGGGTTTTTTAGTGTATAACAAATTAGCAATTCTTACACTAATATTACTGTATAACAATATCTATGGAACCAAAATTGTAGTAGTAGACAACACCCAAAGCATAATCTTTACCTAACTAGTCCATGAAAATAACGGACTCCTTTGTCCTTAATGTAAAGTTTAGAGGTTCAATGAGTAATATTTGAAATTTCAGGAATCTTTCATCATCAATTGAAAATTAGAGTAGTAAGGTACCACTATTAACCTTTTATAAGTCTACTTTTTTAAGACTGTTGAAAACAACTAAAATCCATAAAGCAAACAATAAAAAGGTCAAAACCCAAACAAATTAAAAAAATTGATCATTGCTTTGCTCTTATTCGCAAGCTGGTTGCTAAATAATTCTCTACTGTTTTTGTTTTTCTCTTCTCTCTTTCTCCGTCACTCTCCGATCTCTCTATCTTCCACCTATATATACATATATATTCCCACACACAGTAGTCACACACACAACACACACAGAGACACACACAAACAGAGTTTCACATGGAGTCGCTTTAGTCGGCGATCGGACAGAAAGCGATTCTATGGTCTACAACTACTTACAGCGATCACGATCTCTTTTTAAGTTCCGTTAGGCTAAGAACTGTATGGAATCCGAGCAGAGTTAGCCGGAGATTGAGAATTCGAGTGCAAGCTAAAAACGGAGCCTCCGAAAATGCTGTCAGCGGGGGCAGCACCAATTTTAGTGATCCTAATTGGTAGTAAAAGTATCAGAGAGAATTTGAGGCTCGTTTTAATATTCCTCATATTACCGATGTATTTCCTGACGCCGTTGAGTATCCTTCCACTTTTTGTCTTAAAATGAGGTATGGTTTTGTGAATAACTATTTTCTTTTTTGAATTTTATTGTATTTTTCTCGCTTTATGTGCAAAAATGCTGGTTGAATTGGAAGTAGTGATTAAATTTTAGATTTATTATTGAAAAGTAATAGGTACTATATATAATGTGATATTCTTTCTTTTGTAGTAGTCTATTGCAAAAAGAATGACAACTTTTTATACGTAGAAAAAAAATTAAACCTTAATTTTTCATTTTTATGAATCATTTATAGTCACACAAATGTATATGTATTTTATACTACAAGTTCAAAAGTATTTTTTCCCCTAAAACTTCGTATTTGGTCAAACACCACCACATACATTGGGATGGAGGGGTACTAGTTTTGTTTGGATATTTGACCGGACATGAAGTTTAATATTTTAATTTGACCGGCTGCAGCAAGAAGCACTTATTTTTGGAAAGAAAGAAGGAGGTGTTGTTATTCAATAGGGAAAGAAAATACTCCCTCTGTTTCAGCTTATGTGAACCTATTTCCTTTTTGGTCCGTTCCAAAAAGAATGACCCCTTTCTAAATTTGAACACACTTTAGCTTAAATTTTCAATTCTACCCTTAATGAGAAGCTTTTATAACCACACAAATACTCTGGACCCCTTTTTGACTTGTTTAGGACCACAAGTTCCAAAAGTCTTCATTTTTTCTTAAACTTCGTGCCCAATCAAACAGATTCACATAAATTGGAATGGAGGGAGTAGTAATATTAAAATAACTTTTGAAATTTTAATTTGATAGATAAAATATCATATCAAAGTTTAAACTTTTAAAAATGTTAATTATTTTGGATGCTTGAAAGTTATGAAAGTTGTCACATAATGATTTTGGGTGTGGCATGTGGAGGAGTATCATCAAGAATTGGGAATCCTTCAGTGGCAACATCATCACTTACAGGGTGGGAGATGGAAGGAGAATCAGCTTTTGGAATCATAGGTGGTGTGGAGAGGATACTCAGAGGGTCTCCTTCCCCGTCTTCAGAGTTTCAAACCAGAAGAAATTGATGGTCCAACAGATTCGTAAGGAGTATGAAGGGGGTAGTATGGGACCTCTCATTTAGAAAGAACATGCAAGATCGGGAGATTGTGGAGCTCCAAGATTTATTGTCACTGCTATATGGGCAAGACAGGCCCCAACCATCTTGTGATTCTTGGAGATGGGGTTTGCGTGGCGATGGTTTGTTCACCGTAAAGTCCTTTTACCAGAGTATGTTGGTGAGAGAGGAGGCCTCTTTTCCATACTCCTCGATCTGGATTCCTAAGGCGCCCATGAAGGTGTGCTTTTTTGCATGGCTAGCGGCGAGGGGAGTAATTTTAACTGCTGAGAATCTGCGAAAGAGAGGAATTATACTTGTTAGTTGGTGCTATATGTGTAAAAGCTCAGGGGAAGAAGTTGATCATCTTTTGTTGCATTGCCCTGTGTCCTCGGCTTTGTGGAGGGCGATCCTGAACCTTTTTGATGTTCAATGGGTGATGCCAAGCACCGTAAAGGAAAAGTTATATAGTTGAGCAGGTTTCCGTAGAAGAAGAAAGCAAAAGGCGTGGAAATTCGCCCCGTTAGCTCTCATGCGGATAGTTTGGAGGGAGAGAAATAGGAGAGCTTTTGAGGGGATTGAGTCTACTTTTTCACATCTTAAGAATAGTCTTTTATCTTTGATCGTTTTTTGGTGCACTCATATAGCCCCTACTTGTATAGAAGATTGTGCGTCTTTTGTAGAGAATCATATTCTCATGTAAATTCTCTACTTTTTGGTATACTTCATGTATACGGGAGTTCTCTCCCTTTTGATTAATACAATTTACCTTATCAAAAAAATGAAAGTCTTCACACCTCCTTTTTCCCAAGGGGGATAGGGAGTTTTTCCAATTTAAGCGACATTAATCGAAATGGGATTATTTATTTAGTTTCAGAGTCGCCACTTGGGATATTTGTTATGGTGTCCCAAGTCACCGGTTTATTTTGAATCCCAAATCGAGGAAATTTAACTCTGTTTTAAAAATCTGCGAACAAAGAAGACCGGATAAGGAATTCTGTTAACCCGGGAGATGGTGTTAGACATTCTCAAGTACCGTGGTTTTAGCATGGTCGCTCAACTATTAGTAATTGGCCTAATTATCTGATTAATTACATATTTAGAATCTATTGTGCATTTTTATCTTCTAACCGCTTTCAAGTATTCAACTAACCGCTTTTAGTATTTATGGAATTATTTCTGGAACAAGTTACGATGTCGTACACTTGTCATTTTGGTACACATTGCAAACTGCGCCATATGAAATGCACCCGCGATTTACAATATGTTTATTTTATTTATTTTTTGAAGTTATCGTCGGGTCACATGAAATGATGAAATGAACACATTGCGATTTACGTATCGTGACCATGCCACGGGAACCGTACCCATAGTCACGATGATTTATGAATCGCGCCTAAAAGCATGTCTAACGAGTGAATTGTTCTAATCCTAACTTTGAGATTTAATTGTGGATGTTATAAGTTATGGAGTGTTTTACTGTGAGTAAAGCAATTTCAAGGTGTGACTCAAGTGTTTGAAAATTCAATAAGGATTATCTGACAAATTTAAAAGCATATCTAACAAACTTAATAACATGGATTACTTTGAGGGAAAAGAACAAACAGCAATCTTACACCATGGAGCAGATTCAACGCCAATTAAAATGATTACCCACTTCCTTCTTAATTATTTGGCGTCAAACATGAATTAATAGCTAAAGAGTAGATTTGCATATAATGACATGAAATTAGGAAACAATAGTACGACTTTTAGCCTCAATTCATGAATGTAAAAGAACTGATGTATTACATCAAACAGCCGCACTCGAAATCTTACAAAAACAACCTTTAGAAAATTATTCTGCCCAGCCACGATTTCAAAAAAAATAATGTTACTGAATGATCTAAATGCAGCTGTGACTCAGTTATAGGTAAATGATTCCACTCGTGCTTCAGTTTTCTCGCACATTTAACACTCAATGATCTATTCTTAACTTGAACCCTTGGAAAACTTCAAACCAAAAAACAATCTCAGATTAATATCTATTTGGTCAAGCATTTAGTATAACAACAAAAGATAACACACATTTAAGCAACTTTGACATATATTACAGTAGGGAGTCACTTCCAGTTGAAAACACCACCAAATGTGAAATTTAGAGGACTGATTTCTATTTAAACTACATATTTAGCATTGAACAATCGATAAACCAAATCAGAGAAAAGAATTTAGTGCAAAACATGCAGTTCTAAGCAAACAATCACCACAAAAAAACTAACATATAGAGAGCTTTAAGAAAATCCATTGATGTTTCTATGAAATTAATCAGGAACAAGCACTTGAGCAACTCAAACTTTACTCATAAACTTAAATGGGGACTACAGTCATGTGGCACATACCTGTTAACAGGAAAAACAACTTCAAAGGTCTGAAGAAGCTATGAGATGAGGTTCCACTAGATAAACACCAGTTTCAACAGCAGAAATTAAACAGAGCAGCTTCAGTTTCGAGTTCTAAACTGCCTTGGATCCCAGAAATCAACTAGAAAAATAATTCCGCAGAAGGTCAGAGTTGTATTCACACAATCAGATCCCTTTCTAAGTCTATGAAACTTCAACTCCAATCCTGAACAATTATCCCCAAATTCGAAGAGAATAGCGATCGAAATTTTGGGGGGGGGGGGGGGATAGGGTTCAATCGATTTTGGAAACACCTTGACTGAACTCAACTCAAGAGAACGACGGCAGTGAACGAAGGTGGAGCTGCTGCGTTTTGTGGTAAGAGAGAGCTGCTGCGTTTTAATGAGAGGCGGAGAGTATTGGGCCGGCGGGTCGGGCATGGTATTGGGTTGGGGCGGATGTTTAAAGGGGTTTTGACCGATTTCGATTTCGAATTCGATTTTGTCCTCTTCGGTTATCGGTTTATCGATAAACCGATAAGAAATACTTTAAAAAAATAATAATAATAATTTTCTTTAAAAAAAAATTTTAATTTTTTTTATAATTTTCTTTTACCCTTATTCTATAATACCCTTTCCTTTACCCTAAGTTCCTAACTCTATTATTTCATCTACCACATTTAAGGAATGATCATATTTAAAGCTCAAGGGAATGAAGTTCAAATTAATGAAAAATAGAATTAGCCGTGATGATGTATTTTTATTTTTTTTTTATACCGTTGGAGTGTTGGTGGCATACATTTGATTCCTTACTTTAGTTTCGTTGCATGTGCTTGTTGACACAATTTTTATGTTATAAACGGTGTTCGTCTTATTTTAGATTCTTTTGGTCCATATTAGTTAGGCGTGTTTATAGCGATATACTTTCCGTGGAATCCCGCAAATTTTCTTATTGGTGTAATCGATAACCGAATCGATAAATCGACATCGAAAAAATCGAAACCTTATTGAAACGATAATGATAAGCATATGTACAAATTGATAATCGATAAGTAATTATCGATAAGGGTCAAAATCGAATCGATAAATCGAATGCACACCCTACAGTTACCCACAAAAACAAAACTATTTACCCTTGTCTATTCATTTGTTTTCCTACCCATAAACTAATTATATTTCCTTCCCATAGTATGTTTTGTGGGGAATTTTTTCTTTATTCTGCAATTCTTTTTTATTTCTATGCTTATTTTTTCTTTTTTCTTTTCTCCTTTTCTTTTTTCTCGTTTTCTTCTTATTTTTTTTCTTTTTTCCTTTTCTAATTTCATTTAACTTCTTTTTTTTATATTCTTTTTCTCTTCATAATCTAATTTCATTTACTGTTTTCACTATTTTTTATTATTCTTTTTTTATATTATTACTAAAGAAAAATCAAATTGTGTACCATTAAATGTAGCTAATACAACCAAAAAAATATTAACTAACAGTATATAGCTATACCAACATGGTATACAATTGTACGCAATGAGTTAAAAAAAATTAATTTAATTATTAAACTAAAATAATATCAGTTGTCAATAAAAAATTTAAAAAATTCTAAAAGGATCTAATTGTAAGAGTATACCATTACATCATATAGAATACTATAATTTTTTTTTTTTTTGCATTTTCAATTTGCCCCTCACGCTGGGTAAAAGCTTCAAACAAATTAAAAGGTAAAAGGCAAGTGAATTTATAGGTAATAAGTATACTATTATAGTATATTGTATACTATTACAGCATATTGTTACAGTATCTTGCATATTATTACAGTATACCATAATAATATATTGTATACTATAATAGTATACTATTGCAGTATAACTATATACTCCTATAGTATATTAGTATACTGTAGCGGTATACTATTTTATAAACTATAATAGTGTACTGTTGCAGTATAGCTATATACTCCTAAAGCATATTGTATACCGTAGCGGTATACTGTAGCTGCGTTCTTCTTCGATTTTCAACTGAAAATTTCGATCTCAATCACCTCAAATCAGGTCCAAATGCTATCAAATTTCAGTATGAACTTCCAGAAGGTACTATAAGCAATATTTAACAGCACCCACATGACTTGGGGAATTAAATATTCTTCCCGATATTATACAACACAAATCACATGACAAGTGAACGTCAATTTCAAACATCTCATCTTCTGCAGTTTTCTGCCTTTTGGCTTTGATTTCTTCACTACTACTACTACTTGGTGAAGATACATTCTCTTCCTCCCTTTTCCTCTTCTTAATTTTCAGAACTGACGCAAACTCATCCATCAAATCTTGGTTTTCATCACCAAAGATTTTCGCAGTTGTATCATAAGCCTCGTTATTCGAAAGTTCACCTTTTGATTATCAGCGAATCGTTTCTCCAATTTGTTCTGAAAATTAATGCAAGATTTTGAAGCTTTGAATTCGAATTTGGATTTTTAAAAATTATTATTTGTTTGGATTGGTTGTTGTTGCAAATAATTGGGAATATGGTTTGGAGTTTGTATCTCAATTTTGAGGGGTTTTGGTGAAGATTAGACTTGGTTTTGGCTGAATTTTCAGATTGAAACTCGAAGAAGAAGAAGAAGAAGAAGAAGAAGAAGAAGAAGAAGAAGAAGAAGACATGACATACATTATATTGCAGAAATTATAAAAAAATTGTATTCTGTTATTTATTTATTTATTTTTCTTTTATTCATTTGACTATTGTATGAAATTTGAACAACATTGTATAAAAATTATATTTAAGTGGTATTATATTGTAGTTGTATATAACTGAGTAGAAATAATGTACGAAAATTGTAGATAAGTTGTATAATATATAATTAGTTGTATGAAATTTGTTTTTACTATGTATAAATCAGATACAAAATATATAAAAGACATATTGTATAAATTTTATATAAAATTTGTATTTAAGTTGTATGTTATTGTAGTTGTACTTAAATGGGTAGAAATAATGTGTGAAAGTTAGAGATAAGTTGTATAATATATAATTAGTTGTATGAAATTTGTTTTTCCTATGTACAAATCAGATACAAAATATACAAAAGACATATTGTATAAAATTTGTATTTAAGGTGTATGTTATTGTAGTTGTATTTAAATGTGTAGAAATAATGTGTGAAAGTTATAGATAAGTTGTATAATATATAATTAGTTGTATGAAATTTGTTTTTACTATGTATAAATCAGATACAAAATATACAAAAGATATATTTTATAAAATTGTATAAAAATTGTATTTGTGTAATAAGGAATAGGTATTCATTCTATCTATAGTATAAAGTTGCAGCAATTTATGTTCAAATTAATAAACATTATGAAACCTCATAATTATATGCTGAGAAAAATTATTAGATTTAACGTAACAAACTGCAGAGCTAAGCTTATGGTAATTGCTTGGACATAGGTTGGCCAAGATGTTGTTGGAGAACTCACAAAAGCTATAAAAAGAAAGGGCGTTGATATGCGGGTCTCAGCTCTGGTGAGTTTATCTGGTGCCACGGAGGAATATTATTCCATTTAAATATAGTGCGAGGAAAAAAGATTTTGATAGCATTACTTATCAGAAAAGCATATTAGTGTTGCTTAGTTGTAAAGTATTGATTTTGAATTATGTTTTAATGGAAGGTGAATGATACTGTTGGGACGTTGGCTGGTGGTAAATATACACACAACGACGTAGCTATTGCTGTTAACTTAGGTACAGGGACCAATGCAGCTTATGTGGAACGGGTGCAGGCGATTCCAAAGTGGCATGGTCCTGTGAAAGAGAAGAGGAGAAAAAAAAAGGAAAAGGGTGTAACGAAATCCCTTAATTAAAGGCACTAATAATGGATTGGGATCCTTTTAAGGTGAAATGTATATATTTTGTAAACAAAACTTGTGTAGGTAGAGTAATTTACTAAACATGAACATTTAGGGTAATATAGTTTACTATTGTTTAACCAAAAATTAGATTTTAGGTCAAAGTTTGAATTTAGAAGAACTCGGGTTACTGATAATCGGAAAAGTATATAAGAAAGAGATTTTGAATAATATAATCAGAAAGCAAATAAAACAATGTATATTCCAGTAGTGTTTTTCGTGTCCTTACAGTTGTTTGTGACTTTCCCTTTTATAGCTGTTTTGGGAATACAGACTTTTCCTTTGTCATAATAAGACAATTATGGGTAATTTAATGACCTTAAATGTTACGTTATGCAATCATATACATTAAATACATATTCTCTAACGTTTCTAGTATTTAATACTCATTAACTGCTGTATCTGGGCTCCTTTTTGCTGTCAGATTCATTCCTTTGTCTCTTCTCGATCTTTGACCTTTGAATGTCTTGAATATGTACGAACGTTGAATTATTTGTATGACTGCTCGTGCCTTCTTCATTTAACTTGCTCGTATCTATTGTTGCTCGTGTCTGTTAACCAACCTTAATTCTTTGACTGCTTGATCAGTCTACGTGCCATGACAGGTCACCATATATATAAATACAATTTTCCCCAATACAGATAGTCCCCCCACTTTCCATTTATTCGTCAATTTGAATATTTGGGAAGTGGAATTCATTAAAGGAGAATTTTTGTCACCATTTAATGTTTTGACAGAGTTGAAGCTTTAATTATCACTTCCATTAATGCTTTAGACACGTGTCATCTTCTTATTGGTTCCACAGTTTACCACACTTTTTCAGGCCGTCTTTTCGGCTCCACTGTTCATGAAGTATCAGTTACCATTATTGTGATCCTTCCATTACTGCGTTTTTACTTTTGACGGTCGCCCATCAGTAAAAATTCAATTTTTCCTTTCACCTTTTACCACATAAAACTTTTTCCTTGAACACTTGAATTGTGCGAATCTCTATTTACTTCTTTTTCTTCTTCATCATGTCTTCTTCGAACCCTAACCCTAAGAGAGTTCCTATTTTAGACAATTTTCCCAATGCCCCTGTTAGACATAGAAGAGGTGGGAGACTTCGTAGCTTAGGATCCTCTCGTGGTGGTGGTTCTGCCATGCCTTCTCTTAGCCCTGGTTCTTCCTCTAGAACTAGAGGTTCTTTTACTCAAAAATCATCTTCTAAGAACAAGGAGGCCTCTGAACCGTTACAGGAACCCTTGGTAGAAGAAATAGTCCCTAACGATTTATCTTTTCAGCATGATAGACAATCACTTCAGACCCAAATTTCTGGTTTGGATCGTGTTGATGCTTACCCCACTATGATTACAGAGATTTTAGCTCCCATAGTTCGCAAAGATTGTCACTGGAGTGACGATTTTTCCATTGTAATCCCCAATCCAAATCAGAGGATTACTTCATATATGACTGGATTCTCTTTCGTTTACACATACCC